ATATAGGTATATTATAATTATATAAGTTTTGAAATTTTCATTTTTAGTCAGAATACCAATGACTGTAATAATTATTAAAAACAAAATAAGTAATAATAATAAACTGACCTTCGAAAATTGTTTGTTGTGCAGTCATTGTTTGTAGGGAAGTCCCAGTTGAAGCGTCTCGCTCAACGCATTCTGACACAGTATATTTCATCTGATCAATTGCTCCTGCTCGTCCATTCGTACAGTCATCGGCAGAAGATATTAACTTGACACAAAGTCGTGGTAGTACGGACTGTGAGTTGTTTGTAACCGTAGAAGATGGTGGCGGAGCTGGGATCTCACCATAGAACACTGTACCAGGGGGTATGGGACACCCAACAGGCACTCGTTTTGCTTCATCGGCTCCTGTGGATTTTTAGGTAAGATTTATTTTATTTAAGTTTATAACCCTAATGATAATGTACAAAAAAATCTTTTAAAAATTAGTAAAAATAAGTTATAAGTTCTTTAAGATAACTTAAGAATTAAATATGATAGCATGAAAAAGCATATGACAAAGCATAACGACTTTTTTTAAATCTCAATACAAATAACCTGTAACATTATAGTTACTTATTATAGTACTTTTAAAAGTAAAAATGCATAAATTGACAACTAACGGATCCAACATAATTGGCTTATTAAAATTCTTGTATTTTAACCTAAACTTTTGATCAAAATAGACATGTGAATTTTTATTTCTTTCGTCAAATATTAATTATAGGCTTAGAAACTAACTACTGGTGTACCAGTTTAAATGACTAGCATTAAGAACGAGTGTACTCACTTGTTTCGGTGACCCACAGATGGCGGCGTGGAAGAAGCTTTTTTTTATTTCTTATATTACTATCTTTGCTAACTGATTTTTTTTCCGTGCAAAGTTGCTTTGCAAAGCTCTGTATGTTTTGCTCTTTATCTGGTAACCCTGTCCCTAAACATTTTAAAATGTCATTTTTATTAATTTTTTTTAATGATTTAATTTATTTGTTTTAATAAACGCTCACCTATGATAGAAAATTCTATAATGTTTGGTCCTCTAGGCACTAACCACAAGCACCCGTATGTCATTTTTGAGTCTTTTTTCGAATCAAACAATGTGTCTAAATTTGGTTCACTGATTAAAAACAATATAATAAGTTTATTTATTACATATTCGACATAGATTATTAATTGTTTATTTATATAGTTTACAATGTGAACTCACGGTTGATTATTGCTATTTTCATTAGTTTTTTCCATGATGCGACCACCATAAACAAGGAATTTGGCGCCAGATTCAAGATTATGAGGTTGTTTTTCATCATTATCAACAGGCATGATGCAGTTCCATGTAAATTTTGTTGTTGCACGTTGTTGTTGATTAGGTAATGTAGAACTACGTTTAATGCGTTTTGGCATCAAAGTATTCAGCCCATCATTTAAGGAGTTAGATTGAATATATTGAAAGTCACTATCCACCTTCACTGACTCAGAAGTAGCGCCTAATTGTTTTTCTGCAAACGTAGTACGGCGCGATAGACGGGGTTCTATTCGATAACCACCTGGTAGTGTAAGGACCCGGTAAGCAGTTGGATCGTCAACAGTACCCTCAGGATACAAAGGATTAAAGTCATATTCTATGCCATCGAATGTTTGATCAAAATCTCTCATAACTATATCAGGATGGTTTTGACCGGGATAGGCAGTGTAATCAACTTCAGCTTCTCGCTGACGATACTTACGTTCTAAACTACGCCATTTTAAAACTGCCTCTTTATAAGGAATTCCAAGGATTTTAGCGAACTCTAGATACTTGACCGGAGATGGTACTGGTGTCATACTGGTGTCAGGGAATACCTCATACTCGGTTTTTTTAGTGTCAGTATTTGATTGATTCCATATACGATGTTCAATCAATGGAAGAACCCGCATAAGATTCCACCAGCGTATTAAACTTCGAACTTTCTCAATTTCATTGACTTTTTCCAGTTGTTTTTCTTTCTCGTAATTTGTATTCTTAGATTTATTATACGAGTCTTCATCCACAGACCTCCCTTTCCTAATAGTTCGGCCACCAGGGTTTTGGGTTGTGCCGAAATATTTATTCGTCTTATCAAATGGCTCCATAGGATCTCCTTTTTTGGGGGGGTTTTCAAACTCAGGATCTCTATAACGTGCTGTTGTTGATGTTTTCGCTGATGACCCAAAACATCTCTTTTTACGAGGTTTGGAACTTTCCTTGCCATGTTCGACATACTCACGTTGGTTGCTTAAATCTCTTTTATGTCGAATATTACTAATGCCAAACACAGAATTAAATATTTCATTTAAAGGTTCAAGGTCTTTTCGAATTTCTGTGGTAATTTTGTTTTTCAAACTAAATTTATTATTATAAAATAATGGCTTTAGATCTTCAATTTTTTTGGATGTAAAAACCTCAAGGTCTTTCTTATAGTTGCATTTTTTATTTTTATGGTTCGTGTTTTCTTGACTATGAATGCGTTCGTTTTTAAAAGACCTTTTAATTTGTGTCATACTGGTGTCAGGAAATACTTTATACTCAGTTTTTTTAACTTCAGCATTTGATTGATCCCATATATGAGGATCGATCAATGAAAGATCCTGCATAACTTTCCACCAGCGTATTAAACTTTCAGCTTTCTCTAGTTCTTTAACTCTTTCAAGTTGTTTTTCTTCCTCGTAATCTATATTCTTGGATTTATTATCCAAGTTTTCATCCACGAACCTCCTTTTCCTCATAGTTCGGCCGCCAGGGTTTTGGGTTGTGCCGAAATATTTATTCGTCTTATCAAATGGCTCCATAGGATCTCCTTTTTTGGGGGGGTTTTCAAACCAAAGGTCTCTATAACGTTCTGTTGTTGTTGTTTTCGCTGATGACCCAAAACATCTCTTTTTACGAGGTTTGGAGTTTTCCTCGCCATGTTCGACATACTCACGTTGATTGCTCAAATCTCTTTTATGTCGAACATTACCAATGCCAAACACAGAATTAAATATTTTATTTAAAGCTTCAGAGTCTTTTTGAATTTTTGAAAAGTAATCGTTCACATTCGTGGTTTTATTCTTTTCTTCAGTTTTAGTAGTATAGTTTCCTCCATACTCAAACTCATTGGTAGGAAATAATTCTGGCAATGTCTGAGAAAGAACATCTAAAACAAATTTTGGTTTTTTAGGTTCTACACTACGGCGTTCTCGTTGTAAATTAAATTCATCCAAGATTCGCATGTTATCATTAAGTAATTGACGTTTTAACCAATCTATATCCTTCGTATTGTTTAGAATAGTGATGGTGCGAGTTCTGAACATTTTTACGCCATTCATATTTGGAACAGATCGTCGGTTTCTGCTACTCATTCCAACAGGATCATATTGCTGTGACCTTTGCATGTATTGTTCACCACTAGAAATTTCTGCATCTCCGTTTTTTTCATCGTCATTATCTTGATCATAGTCAACATCATCTTTCTCATGATAGTTAGTATCATAGTGTATTAGACTTCCATTTACTTGTAAATCTAACCATGACCCTTGTGACCAATCTGGAAACCTAAATAATACACAGGCTTTACTTTTTTGCATTAGCAGAAGATTATATTTTATCATAATGATAATAATATTATGGTCTACAATGGAGTATAGGAATTATACAATTTATTAGTATTAGTTATAAATTATAATGTAAGATCTCTATTACGTAACATTTTTTTACACATTTAATCGATTAATAGTAGAAATATGTAACGGTACATCACCCACGAAAACAATCCTTGCCAGGACTACACAATATCAGCCAATCAGAATACATCATACAAGAAATTACAGTAATCTGCAGAGAAGTTTTACTAAATTAAAGTTCTTCAAACTACGCTAACAACCTGATAAATACGGCCATGGATAAGAAATGTCAGGACAAATATAATGAAACCCTCTCCATGGCCGTAACCCAAAAACCCAGCAAGCAAACAGCACACAAATACGTACCGACGGGAAACACAAACATCGCGGCGGCACACACGATAGTTTACTAATTGGTACGTTGCACAGATTATATACAAGTCGTTTTCCGATCACAAACTTACCTTCTTCAATCAACACAATTTCTTCTTCGACTAAACATTCAACTCGATACGAAGATAAGAAGAAAATATGGAACACCGAAGCGACACGATGACCAGTCGCAGTACGAGAATAACGCCGACGAAACATCGACGAACACTCGCTGCACAGACCCGTGAGCAACTCAGTCGGGCATCGCCACTCTCTTTCCGTACGGGTTGACACCACAGCCGGCATAAGGCATGTTACACTTCCGATTGGCATTCGGGGAAGATCTCCACGTACATACCACCCGTGAGCTATCGGTACAGACGACACCGCTACATACCGTATATACCAGTCAGCGAACTGAAACGATCCAGCCAACAAGGGTACCAGACGGTCCACATTCTTTGCACGGACCACGAGCAATTCATACGAGTACTACCCGCAATTCTCTTACGGCCGCTTTTAAGAGCTTGCCTTCCCGATCCAGATTCACGGTAGCAGTTGCCTAATAGCTAGAAGTGTCCGTAGTTGGCCCCGTACCCTGAGATTTTGTATATCTCCTATTATATGACCCTAAAGTGTTGATAGGGCGGAGCCTCCAGCTCGTCGTGACAATACGCCGTATCCGGCAGCCCGCTCTCAAGTCTGGTTACCGCGTTATCGTATCGACCTCACAGCCTGTATATGCTTATAAATATTTACGTGAAATAAGCAGACGAAGTGATACCATCAAACTAGAGTGTTGTTATTCACTTTTAACGGAACAAGTCGGAAGGCCACTATTTCAAATATTCAATAGAGTAGTTAATTAAGGAATGGTTTTAATATTACTAAATGGCAAATAATAAAAAGGTTATTAAATCGTAAATCGTTATAATTTTCAAAATTTTAAATGTATGTAATATCAATTTGACATGATTAAATCAGCGTATAAAATATTATGTACCAAAGGAAAAAGAAAAAATTATAAACTACTCATGTAAATTACAATGCTAAAAAAGTTTTCATACTATCAAAGTTAATCAAACAAAAAAATTATGTGTAATTAAAAAAAGTAGTAAAATATAATAAAACGTTGCTTAAAAATGAAAATATAAAAACAATTCTACGTAGGGTTCTAGATAATATTTTTACATTTAAATTTGACTTTAGGTCAATTCACTTTAATATAATATTCCGAACGTAAAATTTTTTGTGTTACACATTTTTAAAATTGAGGCAACATATAAGTCCTATAATATATTATTATAACATATAAATGTTGTAAAAGATAAATTGTACATTTATTATTTGAGTGAGTAAGTAAGAACTTAAACGTTCAAGGAAACATTAGGTATTTTAGTATTTTAAAACCACTTTAATATTGTTTACTAAATAAGTTGATATTTATTATGTTCATTTGCTAATTTCTTGTTTCTTGCTTACATAAAAATGTTTATATATGTATATAATATTTTAGTTATAAGGCTTAATGTAGATATACTTAAATGTAAAAACTAGGTTAAAAAAAATTAATTACTAAATATTAAAAACATAAAATATCTTAACTAAATGTCCCATTCGTCCCTTAACAAATGACTGGGTTCGTTACTCAATTCGATGTTCTAATTTATTGATATGGGAGGCGTGGTCTCAACGACACTAACCTGTACGTTCTGCCCTGTGACGCTGACCGCTTTTTCCTCCAGACATCTACTGATGAAATTGGCTGTGGCCAGTCCTTGGAAAATAACAAAGCAACTGACCCATCTTCAAAATGTCGAAATCCATCTGGTACTCTGTGCTCGACCGTCCCCATTCTCCGTGATAGACCATCACACGAACGATTCGCACCAATCACCATCTGGATCATTGGTGGGTCGTCGTTGAGCATTGAATACAACTGTAGTATGGTGAACGAAAAAACAGAAAAATATATTAACCAACCGCAACGTGTAATATATATTATAAATAAAAGCACATTGAGACTCAACCCTATCTCCAATCATTAACATCGTTGTGTCTAAGATTACAGATTTCACTGTAGTAAGATTTAGTGTTATTTATTCAAATGGTGAGTGAAAATATAGAAACAAAGACGAATATTGATCAGCTATTTTCACGTTAAATATTTCTTATGGGCTAGTAGCATCTAATTTTAGAAATTTACGATAAGAATAATATGAGTCCGTTAGATCTATTTATTGTTTTTAATTTTTAGCGTGGACATTTTGATTTTCAAAAGCACGAAATATTTTATTATTTTCTATATACCCTTAAAATGTGTATTGCAACAACTATCCGTGTAAAAAATGAAAAGTGTGTGTACAATAATTCGTGTTGTTGTTTGTGAGTGCCCTTCTACTGCTTCAATTCATTAATCGATCAGTAAGGTATGCATAAACATAGTATACTCACACCACATCTGTAGTCTTTTTGACCGGACCATCTGGCTGTTTGATCGTATAGTGTTACGTACCAGCCTTTAATATTGTCGTCCTCAATGAATGGATGTTTTGACAGACATTCAAACATATAGTGGTCCATACCTGCGAATACAAGAACAGAACAAATACATGAGTATGATGAATATACGAGTAATTACTAATAATTTATTTTTATGATAACTGTTTTTTGTAATATTAATAATATTATAGTGATTGGGTATTTCTATTACTTTACCAGTGTGATTTAATATTATATATCTTTTTCGAAAATTGTATATTTGTATTTTTTGAGGGTATTCATGTCAATATGTCAATCAATGGTAAAAATAGTAAAATACATAAGAAATCATAATTCATATGTAATAATTGAATAAAATGTAATTTAAAATATTATATAAGTATAAAAGTATACTAAACATATTTTCAGAAAAAAGATTTTTGTTCATTCAAAATATATTTTATCTAGTGAGAGAAACGAAACTGTGGATAAGAGCAGCTTATGATTAATAAAATTATTTAAGAAAACATTTTCAACTAATACATAGATTAAAATAATAATAATTTATATTATATTTTGAGTAATGTTTTAGATGTTTTTATATGTTTTATAATGTGTTATAGGAAATGAGTGAATAAACTAAATGTTGCTACAGTGTCATTACTGCAGTACCTAATGGATAATAAAATTCCACAAATAAACTATACGAGATGAAAACATAAAGAGAACAATCGATCGCTTTTCACGAAAGGTAAATATTGACCCGTTCGATTTTAAATCTATAATATATGTGAAATTTGTATTTTGTGCAGGTGCTAGTCGTAATTTTAGAAACTGCTATCAGAACAGACGCGATCACCTGTTCAAGTTGCATTAATATTAAAAGGTAAATTATGCATCTATTTTATTATTTACGATTATATGAGCAATGCAGATTATATATTTAATATACACATGATTTTAGACGAGGAGAGCTTTCTTGAAGCCGCGGACGCAGCTCCCTCATTATTGTGCTGTAATGATATAATAATTCGTTATACATACCCTCTTCGTCGCAACTTCCACCGCCATATCGCAGACTTCCCAGCCACAAATTAAACGCTGGCACAATATCGTGATGGACGGTTTGCATAGAGGCACATCCACCTATCGGCGGCGACAAAGTTCCCAACACCGTTACTTTAAATCGTTCGTCTGGTGATCCAAATGGTGGACAGGATTCTTTGATTTTGCCCATGACGTCTATACATACAAGAAGACAAATACCACATTAAATTTTAAGGATATTATGCTGTTTTTAAATACAATATTTTTATTGCATGTGCATACATGGACGTATAGGAAAGACGATGGTTAGATTATTGGTATTTATAATGACAGTGGTGAATCGTAGTCAAACGCACGAGCCATTGCGCTGATGAAATTACATTTGATTATTTTAATCGATACTTTTGAAAGAGATCCTGGTTATGTAAACACGCTCACAATACTTGTTTAAGCACATTACTTTTCGACTTGGTCAATTCATTAACATTTTTATTCAACGATTCGAGCAACCGACTTTATTATCGTGGATTACCGGCAGTTTCGATCATTTTCAGTTACCGTGGCTTTGATGTTCCCGCCACCGATAAAGGTGCTACGGTTAGATGCAAAGGTTCTGCGAGTGTTCAGGGCCAGGTTCCCGGACCCAGCCCCGAACCGCCCGCATGCCCTTCATTTCGTAGTTGTATTCGATCACACCCTTTATTTGCCCAACTCAGCCAAGCCGACAGCCCTACGTTATCATATTGTTACCAGACGTCGGTCCTCACATGTCAACTGTACAGTTCATCGTATACATACGATTTTTCTGTGTATGGTGGTGTCGTTTAGAGTAGGCAATAGGTTTGGTTATTAATTGCACACATCTTACACAGACTCTACGACAGGTAGGCTAGGAAAAGGATTTCATCTTATACATATGATTTTTCTGTGTATGGTGGTGTCGCTTAGAGTAGGAAATAGGTTTGGTTATTAATTGCACACACCTTACACAGACTCTACGATAGGTAGGCTAGGAGAGGGATTCCCCTGTATAGGTACATATGTAACGGTGATATGTGCAGTTGAAGTGAGCGATGTCATAGGGATCTAGATGGGTGGGGCATGGACGACCATTCGTCTGGGCGCGGACTATTTGATGGTAGGTAGGACACGAGGGACTTCTATGTGAAAAATAGTGTAACGATGTATTGTATTTTTTTTTCTTCATTATTTTTAGTCTGTAAGTAGGTAGGGTCTCTCGATCGTGTAAAGTCCGAGCCACGGGCGGACCGAATACGGGTGTCATCTGGAATCACCGGGACCACCTGTCACTAGCGTCCCCAATGCCTCTCTAACTTACACCACCACCGTCGGATTTCTGGGACACCATACCCGGTTAAAAGCCTCCCAATGTTTACATTTAAACAAATTCGATACAAAAAGAGCCATTGACGATAAAAAATATTTATATTATTTATATTAACTATTATAACTACCATTCAAATCTAACCTCGTTTTTAGCCGCAAATATCTCGATTGATTAACATTTTTTTATTTTCACCCTACCCTACACAAAGTGTTAGCTGTTGTGTCGTGATAGAAGCGTAAATTATATCATGTATCATTGTATCATGTTTATCTCTACCCATGTAATTTCTATGTCGTATTGTTTTCTAAATATCTTCTTAAACAGTTAATATGTGCTGTTATAATATAACTTTCACCATTGTCTAGTATATGGAGTATACGACGACTTTGAAAATTTAAACTTTAAAACCAGAAATCAATACGATCGTTCTTTTAGATACCTGTAGATGGTTACTTGTATTATTTGCCCCTAGTATACTTATAAATCGATGTCTATCACCGACAGCCGCGCAATTCATTTTTTTTTTTTTTATTTATAACTGTACTAGTAGTTATAGTGGGTGAACCGAGATTATTTAGACGTATGATAAAGCGGCGACGTAATTCTTAACAAATTCACATATCAACATAATTAATTATCGTACATCCTTTTTAATTGTAATTCGTGGTCACTTATAAAAACCTACGAAATTGTTTTGTATTAATTTGTGTGTCACGGCAGGCACCCGTTGTGATGCACTCCTCCTTGGTTGCGATTATATTCCTATCGGTATTTTTTTCTTCGTCAAATTTTCATCCGCGAGTATGACCCTTTTGATTGTACGCCTGAGGCAAAATAAAAAAAGGGTATCTCGTTACAAAACGATCCCTATCCCCGTGTTTGTCTCGTATATCCGTTTCTTAGCCGCAAAATCTTAAGACTGATTTGTAATCGCCCTATGCTGTGCACAAAGCACGGGTAGTGAGCTTTTATGGCTAACGCGATAGACTAGTGGATAGAATTCGTGTTAAACTTTTACATTATGTTTGTTACGTCGCATTGGTTTTTCGTGCTATTCACGCCTCCCGCAAGAATTGTTCGGTACGTAAATAAAGTACGCGAAAACCTATGTACCCAAACAGAAATAAAATTGAAATCACAACGCAACTATATGCTGCTGTATACGGAAACATAGATTGAGTGAGCCAAAAAGATATGTTTGTGTATATTATGTGGTATTATAATTTGCGTTTTCGTCTCGTATATAGTGTATACGACGACTTTTGAAATTTAAACACGCTAAAACCATAAACCAATGCGATCGTTCTTTTAGATACCTGTAAATACTTGTATCTTGTGGTTACTTGTATTATTTGCCCCTAGTATACTTAATATACATATATATATATATAATATTATGACGCGTGAACTGTTTTAACAATAAACGTAAAAAAGATAAAACCCTTTTACACGTGTGTGTTGTTGTGATATGATTTATACTGTGTATAATTGTCCAGATGTAGCGTACACACGTACCTGCGTAGCAATCGTGTGTAATAAATTAAAATTGGTAATAAACGTTAATATTATTAAGAATTGAGTAAGTTGTTGTTAGTTTTCATTAATCCGTAATCCCCAATATACCTCTGTACATTACTATGATATTATGTAATTAACCGATGTACAATAATTATTGTATCATGTAAACCAGAATAATAAATGACTTTTGTGCACGGTAATAATAATTGTTGTATATACTTGTATCGGAAAATAAATACCACAACTTTAAGTACCTACAATAACTGTGTTTTTGTATTATTTAAGTTATTGTCACAATTGTATAGAAGTATGTCTTTTGACATAATCCAACGGAATTGTGTTTAACCCGTACAACGCGATTCATATAAATTACCAATGTACGACGACAACCATGTACGAATGACGTGCGAAAACAAATTATTGTTAGTACCTACTAAACAACCGCGTTTTGTCTCATTACAATTATTTACCTAATTATCGACCATTACCTATACCTGTCGCAGACGAATGTTTTGAGCGTTAAAACCGTCTTACATAAAATCAGCCAAATAATAAAATAAAAATAACATCACGCAATTATTATTGATTATCGTTTAATCTTTAATCGATACGGACGGTTTTGCCGAGTAACGGAGAAACGAGCACACAAACGACACGAGCCGCCTATACCTGTCTGTAAATCGTAGTCGTTTCCAATCGTATATTTAACCCACAGCAACAAACGGGTAGGTATACTTATCACTAGGGCTGTACATTTGATGCACTAAAAACCTTAAAAAATGTCAAAAAAATGCAATTAAATATGCACTTAAAATGCAAAAAAAAGGAATATATAAAATGCCAAAAATTATAGTATAAAATTCATTTAAAATGGTTTTTAAATTTAATTTTTATATTTATATTAATATTAGGTACCGGACATTAAATATTAGTACAAAAAAGTGTTTATTTAATAAAAAAGTTAATTGAATCTGAATTAAGTTAATGCTATTCACCAGAAACATTTTTAAAACATTTTTTTTTTTGTTAAAATAATAAAACAAACTTAAAGATATTTATTTTCTGGTACCTTATTCATCTTTAGTATTTACTGTTGAATTGGACAACAAGTGCTCGTTTGATGTTCTCAAATAAAAACGACTGCCGATTGTCTGTCAATAAATGTTTAAATGCCGAAAAACTCCTTTCGACGTCTACAAACGTAATAGGAGCATATCGCATAAAAGTCATGTCATCAAAGCTGAGGTCAGAACAGCCGAACAGGTACTAAACGATAAATACTGAAATACCTACTAATAACTTAATCTGGAAATTTGTGACTGATATACGATATGCCACAATAACTTATCTATAGTTGTCTAGCAATTGACTTATTTTATCGAATCGTTATCTTTACCTGACCCACCCGTATATAGCTTGTGACTTGTGTAAAATATTATTTAATAAAATATAAATTTGACATAATATATACAGCCTGTGTAAAATAAAAAAAAAGTTTTCAAACAAGTCAATTGACAGAATTTGGTTGAAAATACTAGAAAATGAACTAAAAAAAGCAAAATATGACCTAAAAAATTAAAAACGCCAAAAAAAGCAAAAATATGCAAAATAAAAGTTTCATAGATGGATTCGTAATTACATAATTCAAATTATGTACTTACAAAGCTATGTTTTACAATCACCAAAAAAAAATGCACTTTCCTATAAATTCACAGCCCTGCTTATTACTATGCTGACAGTTGTTTGAAAATGATATTACGAGTGTAAAAGTATAAAAAATTAGTCGTTTATTTTGATTATTAACGTATGAAGTATATAATATAAATTCGTATAACAGTAAAATTAACAACAATATAAGCACTTCGCCAGTGCCGGATTCAATGCACCGAGTCCTAACTCAAAGACTGAATTCGTATTAGGGGGGGGGGGCTTATGTCGATAGCCTAGATTTTGTAAATCTTTTAAGTATGGGCGGTGAAGTCGTGAAATTTTTATTGACAGTGTTGAAGAAAGAAGTATTTTAAGAAATTATCCGCATCAGTTTGTTTTAAGCCGTATTGTGGACTCAGTTTCATATCCCTACTAATCGCGCCTCGACATAAATGAACACGTCATGAACCATAAGATATTGTATTTGTATTGTTTTCTTGTTTAAATAAATTTTCACTTAAATCAAATAATCAATGCATTAAATTACTTATAAATAGCAATCTGTTAAACGTGTTGATGAGATACCCTCCGAAACTCGCGAGATCCGGCACTGGCCTTCACAAATTATTAAATTATAGATTCGTGTAAGACTATAGTACAGTCGTTGACAAAAGAAAAG